CAAAGCACAACGAGCATCCTGCAGAAGAGAAATACATTAGAGAAATACTCAGCTTAACTTGCTACTCTCGAACCTACATTAGCGCCTGCGTCACCACACTCTCCAAACGCCTCAACAAAACTCGAAGCTGGACAGTCGCCATGAAAACACTTATCCTCATACAAAGGCTCCTCTATGAAGGTGATCCTGCATATGAGCAAGAGATCTTCTTCTCAACTCGTCGAGGAACTCGAATTCTCAACTTGTCCGATTTTCGTGACAATGGCAAGTCGTTAAACTCATGGGACTTCTCAGCATTTGTTCGCACTTATGCACTATACTTGGATGAGAGGCTTGAGTATAAAATGCAGAATCGGCGAGGAAAGAAAAGCACGTTTGGATGTGATGAAGAAGAAGAAGAAAACAAAGATAAAGATAAAGATAAAGAGAAAGAGAAAGAATCATTTACGAGATCCACACCAATACGGGACATGAAGACAGAACAAATATTTTCAAAGATGCAGCATTTGCAGTTGCTGCTTGAGCGCTTTTTAGCTTGTCGTCCCACAGGTTAGTACTCATCAAAACCCTCTATTTTTTTAACCAAGAATTAATTTAGATTTATTTCTCCATGAATTATCCATCAAAGCACTTTAATTCAGATTAGTTATCACAAATTTCCGGTTACAGTTAAGATTCACTTGACCATATATACATCTTACTGTAATACTACTAGAAGAAATCTCATGTCCATTTAAATTTAACAGGAGCAGCAACAACACATGGAATTGTGATTATACATATTACTGTAATCCAACTAGAAGAAATCTCATGTTCATTTAAATTTAACAGGAGCAGCAAAAACACATAGAATTGTGATAGTGTCTCTATACCCCATTGTGAAGGACAGCTTCCAGATATACAGTGAGGTAACAGAAATACTCAGTACCTTACTGGACAGGTTTGAAGACTTGCAGATGCAAGACTGCATTAAAGTTTATGACATTTTCTGCCGTGTTGGGAAGCAATTTGATGAGCTAGACTTGTTCTATTGCTGGTGCAAGAGTATAGGCATTGCAAGGTCTTCTGAGTACCCACAAATTGAGAAGATCAATTCAAAGCAGCTGGAGGTCATGGAGGAATATATCAAAGAGAAATCAGCTGCAGCACAAGGCAAGGCTTCTAATGCAGAAGAGAAGAATGAAGAAGAAGAAGCTAAGGTTGAAGAATTAGAAGAGGACGTGAATACAACAAAAGCACTACCACCACCAGTGGAGGAACCAAAGGTTGAAGAAGTCATTGAAGAACCAATCAAAGAAAAGCCTAAAGAGGAAGAACAAAAAGAAGCTGACTTGTTACATCTAGGAGATGATGTGCCTACCACAGAGGAACAAGGGGATAAGCTTGCCTTGGCCTTGTTTGATGGTGCTGCACCAGGAACCGCGAGTGCCACCCAAGCTCTTCCATGGCATGCTTTTGATGAAGAAGCAGATTGGGAAACAGCATTGGTGCAATCAACCAGCAACCTGCCAAACCAGAAGCCTGAACTGGGAGGTGGATTTGATACACTCTTGTTGGACGGCATGTATAAGCAAGCAGAAGTAAATGCAGCCATGCAGGGACCGGGGTTCATAGTCAGCGGGAGCTCAAGCAGTATGGCACTTGGGTCGGCCGGAAGGCCAGCATTGTTGGCATTGCCGGCACCACCAACATCCGGAGGTTCTACTGATTTTGGGCCAGCAAGTACAGATCCATTTGCAGCTTCGCTGGGTGTGGCACCTCCATCTTATGTGCAAATGTCAGAGATGGAGAAGAAACAGGGGTTGCTAGTGGAGGAACAAGTGCTGTGGCAGCAATACACAAGAGAGGGCATGCAAGGAGAAGCTACACTGTCAAGGCTCGAACGGAATGCTTACATGGGAGCCTATGCACAACCGAACCCAGGAAGTAATTATCGTTGAATAGCCATAGCGTTTTAAAACTTGAAATAGGATTAAGTGCAAAAACATGACACTCTGGATTAGTGGCAAGTAATGATTACTCTCTAAAATATAAACCCTTCATTGCCGAAAAACATGTCAAACTTGAATCATGGACCGGAGAATAGTCCCCAAACCCCTTTAAAAACTGTCCTCGGAAGCGCACAAGAAAGTACCCTTCACGCACGTCCTGTTTAAACAGAAGAATTGATGTTTCATTTGGCCAGTCGAATTACATTTACTGTGCCGTACAAGAGCCATGTACAGTAGTTTTAGAACACTAATTAATTTACAAAATTCGTCCCTCATTAGGTGGCTGTATCCAGCTTTCGAAGGGTTACTATTGAACATCATTAGCTTCAATATCAACCAAACTGGTCCCAACTTCGAAATAAAGGGAGATGACATTAATTGAAAAACATTGGCTTTCCCGATGTAATATCAGTTATGTTGAAGACTAACGATTCTTCTGTTCAAGGATTTTGTAGGTTCACTCCACCACGAAAAACAGAAATCCAAAACGTAACTCCAGAATAAAAGCAGAGAGGGGGAACACCGCTGTTTAATTGAAGGGCTTCGATATCAACCAAACTGGTTCCAACTTAGAAACAAAAGATAACATTAATTGAAGAACATTTGAAATGTAATATCACTTAAGGAATAACGATTCTGTCCGAGAACTTTGATGATTCACTCTAGCTCGAAAAACAGAAATCCAAAAGGTACTCGTAACTCTGAATAATGGAAAGAGAGAACAAAATTATTTAACAAGATATAAATGACCTGAGAGCAATAAACTAATATTAGCAATAGTAACGAGCAATTTTTCATGAATAGCTTAAAGCTATCAGATAGATATCCATAGAGAAACAAAATATTCCAAGCGTTTTGAACATCCGAAATAAAAACCGTACAAAGTACAACGACAACACTGACGCTATAAATCCTACTTCTGAACCTAGAACAGAGAAGTTCCCTTCCCCTTCTTATCCCCACCAATCTCAAAGTGCTTGCACCTCTGCAGAGAACAAATGAATTATCAATCAGTGATATACAATATGCCAGGGAAATATAACGTGTGAAACATATCATGATTGATATACCAACCTTAATAGGATGTTGGGATACATGTTTGCAACTCTGGCATTGCAGCCTCAAGACAATCTTCTTAGTGGTTTTAGCCTACTCAAACAAAAGTAATTGACCACAAGAAATTAACAACCAGCTCCCAATAACATGACCAAAAGCTTCAAAGATTAGTTGTTGATAGAAACATGATGACAGCCTACCTTTTTGTGGAACACAGGCTTTGTCTGTCCACCATAGCCCGATTGTTTACGGTCATAACGGCGCTTTCCCTGAGCCGCAAGACTATCCTTACCCTTCTTATATTGCGTGACCTTGTGCAGGGTGTGCTTCCTGCAGTCCTTATTCTTGCAGTAGGTCTTCTTGGTCTTTGGAACGTTCACCTACAGGACGGCAGCAGAATTGTCACACTTCCCAATAAAGGATATCAAAATGACACATTTCACAAATTACTCCAGAAAAAAAATGTCTTAAGTAAAAATATTGACCTAAACAAGAGCATAAGAACGCAAGTATCGATTCCAATGAAAAGAAACCCAGCGTTGACAGACTATAGAAGAAACTATATCACGCCTCCAATCAACAAAACTGAAAAGAAACTGAACAAAATAAAAGAAATCATATACTAATTGATGTAAACAGAGGAAATGGCGCAAATAACAACTTCAATCTTGCGGAATGATATATTCCCACAAACAACAAAGGAAAACGAAAAGAACTGTGACAAACAAAGAAACAAGGTAATCAAAGATTCCAAGTAGAAATTCAGATCAGTTCATAGAGTTCTTGAAAACTCACGGAAGCATGAAGGATATAGAAATACTGCGGGACCTCTGAGGCAGGTAAATGGGAATAGGGAGAAGACAAGCGAGAAGAAGGCGAAGAAGGAGGAGGTGATTACCATGATGTCGATCAGCCCTAAGCCCCGCCCGCCGCTAAGGAGTGAAGAAGACGAGAATTGAGGGTTTCATTGTTTTTATTAATAGATGTCGGGATAGGGTTTGGGGTAATTTTTTTTTTTTGCAAGAGGGCCAACAATACTTCATAGTACTGCTAACAAATGGGTTTGAAAGCCCATGGTCATCTGGGCCCACATTTTAAGTCCAACATAATCCGAATCTTTACCGTAATCTTTTTTTTATCGAGAAACTCCAATAATATTTTTTTTCAGTTGAGTTGATATTTCATATTTTAAATTAAAATTAACATAAACTTTTCTGTAAGTACCTCTATAAGCGCTTTTGAGGCATGCCCTGGCCCTAGTACCAACTCACCTAAACTTTTCTTTACCAAAAAATTAAAATTAACATAAATTATTTTAAAATTTTTTTAATTTTTAATTTTAATATTTCCTGTACATAAGACTTTCTAATTTCTTTAAAAAATGGTGTTGATAAAGAAGATTGTGTGACACTGTTCATCATCTTTCATGCTATCCCCCATATTTTGTTCTCCCGAAATCCGCCATCATCTCAACCACAATTTTCAAGAAGTTCGGCAAAATCTACTATTATAACGTAGTACAAAATTATAAAATTTAGCACTTCAATTTTTCAAATAAACTTTACTTATAATGTTTAATGTAAATCTAAATATATTTACAGTTACTTTTAATATATAAAATATTACACTAAATATGATTAAAATATTATTTAATAATATTTTTTCCTTTCTTTCCTTTTCTTGAATAGGTTCTCAAAGGGAGAAATTGGTCATCTTTAAATTTACATAAATATGAATCATCTTCCATTATATTTATAAACATAAGTTTGTCAAATATTACAAGTGATGTTCTGTGTTTGGTAAAATGTTTCAAGGCTTGCCAATTTATCATGGTAAAACTGTAGTACCATGTGGTTGTAGACATGCTAAGAGTGAGGCTTTTTTAATTAACATTTGATATGTTTAAACACATGCATAGAAAGAAACATGTCAACGCTAAACTCAAACCTGTAATTTTATCCAAACATAGCAGATGACACTAGCACTAGAGCAACTTCTTGTTGACAGTTCAGAACACACTTACTTTCATATTTTGTTAGTTTCCAACATGAAACTAAATACACTCGAGTAAGCTTGCACACTAGTTACCCCGAGCTTGTCCATATACAACTGCAAGTGTAGCTCGCTTATTTCTTGATCATGAATTTAAGCTACAAGCAGCACAAACCAAATTACAAAAACCATAGAGAACCCACTTTTTCCCAAACAGATTAACCCAAAAAAGTAGCCAGCTATAAACTAAGTCTGAATGGGTTTTAAAAATGAGCACAACTTGGACAAACACCTTCAGTTTTACACTGGTATCTTGAACAAAGTTGTCAACTGTACAGAGAAGACCAAACTTCCCCGTAGTTAGGTAACTGGAGATCCCCTTGTGGATACGCCCAACCTCATTCCTACACGAACCAAGGTCTCAAGTGATCTGGCGCTGTTCGCTAGGAGGTCTTCATCAATCACTATTGAATTCTGCAGACCAAAGAGAAAAGGAAGAGAGAGAGAGTGAGAGAGATTTCATTACATGCATTTTCCAAAAATTAACTCAAGAAATTATCGATCTCTACAGAAAGCTAACAACTTAGGCAAAAGATTACTGATTGCACCCAAAAAAAAATTGTTGGAACGGAACACCATTTCCATATTAAATCAATCAGAACAGAAAACTGGTGCCCTGCAGTAATGACTTTTTTGTCCCATTGGTAATAGAATCGAAAGAGAAGCATGTGATAGATTAGTTTCACGAAATTTATACGTTTCTTGAGGCATCGACATTTCGTTTTAAACAAAACAGCTGCCTGTGTTTGAAATGTGTCAAGATCCTCAAGTCTAATATGGCAGGACACTTCAAATAATCCGTGGCACTGTAGATATCGTCATGTCATAGTGTCTGTGCTCTGTCACTGTATCCAAATTCTTTAGTCTCTAACAGTAAAACGCACTTAAGATCAAGAATCCACTGCTCTTCCCCCACTTACTAATACAAGGAGCTGAATGGATCAGACAAGAAATAAGAACCAGGCATCGAAATAAAATTTGTTTAATGAATATAGATATATATATGTATGTATGTATCTATAATAAAATCTATATCAAACCGTGCTATTAACAAGTTATGAATAATATGGCTTATTTTGTAGGTTTTCATGAGTAAAACGGTTTTAGTTACATCAAATAACAAGAACATGCTGCAACAGGACTGGAGGAAAATATGGCCTTAATAATTGACGTTTGTCATTGGTTCTTCTTCTTAGATAGAAATCATTTATATCAGCTAAATAATGACACGTGCAATTCAAATATAAGACCAAATAAGTTACGAGAATCTTTATAAAATTTAAGTAAAATAGATTAGTTCTGTGCACAAATTTTTTCATGGATAATAAAGAATCAGGAGCCAGGATTATTTTCTGCAATAAGAAATTCAAAATTTGATGAACAATAAAGAACTATTAGCAGTAACGCTAATAATAACACCAACCTTTTCAAAGACACAGATTACAGTGCTTCCACCAAATGAAAAATATCCAAACTGTAATTTAAGCAAATGAAATGTCAATAAGCAATGGAAACAAGAGATGAATAAACAAAAATCAATCTCTATCTTGGTTACCTCATCTCCCTTCTTGACATGATCACCTCTCTTTTTGGTAAAAGTGATGCTACCAACCATTGTAGCTCCTATTGCAACAAATGCCACCTAAATCCAGATCATAGAATTACGAATATGAATGTATTAATGGTCAAATACATTTCGGGGAGAAAGTAGTAATGTGCATAAAGAGCGGTAGTTCACCATAAGCATTTTAGGAACTTGACAAATCATCAAAAGCACAACAGAAAAATTACAAGAATAAATAACGAGAAATGGACTAAATGCTTAAATGAATAACAGAAAATTTCCAATCAGAAAGCAAGCTGAAGTTGATAATTGTTGTCCCTCGTTCTACAATCATCAATCATTTCAGATATGTGCACTTGGGAATACAGATTTATTGCAACGACAAACCTTTCCAAAATCTACAGTTGAAATTATTGAAACAACACGCTTATTCTCTGTGAAGACATTGCAGTACTTGCTATTGACAGCAATGGGATTGACCTATTCAAAGGAGGGCAGAGTGAAAAATAAATTGTGAATGAGCGCTAATACAAAGAATTAGAGCAACAAAAAAACATGTAACGGTATATATAAAATTTGTCTTCGTTAAGTGATTGTCCCATACTGTATATAAGCATCCAGGGATATCTACAAATTGCTCGATTTTTCCTGATACTGGCAAATGGAATCGGTGATAATCCTGAAAGATATAGGTGTTAAAGTCAAAATCCTAGGAAACTATAACAGAAACAGAATAAAATTTAAACAAACAACCAGTAGTACCTGTGGTGCTAGACGAAATATCACAATTGTTCCATCAACAAAAGCACTAGAAGAAATTTCCTTCCCCAAAAGGCCTTGAACTGAAAACTTTCGACCCTAGAAGTAATGAAAGATAATTGAAAAATTACTTCGTTGACCTCCATAATCAACGCGGAAAGAACAAAGAGCCATGTATCCCTAAATATCCAGGGAATCTAATTTCCACCATCACAACGGGGCCCAAATTTCAATAATTGAACAAGTTTTATATCTCATATGCATAAAAAATCTTTGAATTAAAAAGAAGAAAAGAAGGATATTCAAAAGTAAAAGCACCAGACACAACTTTAGTTACAATTAGCCAGAGGATGTTTACACATAAGACATTGATTGAGCAGCCAAATACTTTGATCTATTACAGTTGTTACATGTTTTCGTGCAAAGACAGAGAGCAAGGGCATGAACAAACTCCAGATAATGATCACATTCCTCACAAATTTCTTCCTTCCCACACCCCTGCCCTAACCCGCAGGAATGTCAAGCCGGTGCTAATGGGCACTATTAGAATAGATATAGGTCACAGAAATTGGCTGAAAACCATCTTATATCACAAAATTCATGTGTCAACTAGTAAAAATCCATTATTTGCAGATTTCCAAATGTTAAAATTTTGATACCAAAAATAAATCATTTTTTCAAGAATGGAAGCATTCCATGTAGCAAGAGAGGAGAAAAATTACCTTAATCCAAAATCTTAAACTCTCATCAACTGATTTAAATGCCATCAGACGACAATCAGCAGCACATACAGCAACATCATCACGTTCAAAGGAATCAATTGGTCTTGAACCAGGCTTTAACTCTCTTATGAAAAATTCATTGAATGTCTGCCCACAGAAATGAAAGATGTGAATCTTCAAAGAAAATCAATACTACTATCGCAAATCCAAAAATAGTTTGCATTTGCCATTTAAATATTCGAAAATCAATATCAGTATATCTATCGAAGTTGTAGGAAGTTGCACCTATCCACAAGTTGTGAACAGTGAGGCTTTGCATGAAGCCAGCTCTAGTTTTACAAATTTTCACGGTGTTAAAAACCAGACCAACCATTGAACTAGGTGAAACTTTGGTTGAAGGTTCAATGGTCGAATTATAATTGAATAAGTCGTGATTAAATTGACAAATTTTAATCATGTACTAGTTATTCTAAATAATAAAGATACAAATAATAACAAAATCATATATCATATTTCAACAATAATATAATTGATATAAAAATAGAATGTGAAATTATAAGAAGTAAGAATATAATTTTAAAAAGCTGATAAATATTTTATCCTTTAAAAAATAAATAAATAATTTAAAATAATTATGAGATGTAAGATATTTATAATGTGTATACTTATTTTATAATTTACAATTTTATAATACACACACACACACACAGACATTTGTTGCCCACTGTTCATACTCATTCTTAATATATTAGAGGGTCCTATCAGAATCCTTAGTATCTGATAAGATCTTCAAATTTTCATTGAGGGTTCAGAACACCCAAGGGTATATCCAGGTACAATTGCGTGTCATCAAAACATAACTTAAGCTCTTTCGAAAGTATAAGCCCACCTTAAACTTATCCAATGGATCCTTGACTTCAGCCATATTGATTTGATCCTACAACGAAATAGTCACATAATTTATAAGAAATTTGTAATTTCATGCACAAAAGTCCAGATACGTAAGCAACCCCAGCATATAAAGTCAGGGAGAAAAAGGTCTAAGGTTAACATATTATCACAGAAGAAGAAAATAAAGTAGAAGATATGGGAAAAGCATTAATACACAATTTATATTCGCAATTGAGCATGTGTGTGTGTGTGTGTGATTTTGTGTGCCTAAGTAAAATTCAGGAGCAACAGCACTATGGGTCGTGGCTTTGAGCTTAGTTCCCCCGTTCCCATGAATAAGCAAGAATCAGAAGTCCCCAACCACAGAGCAGTTCATACCTTGAAAAGTTCAATAAATTTAGGTATATCTGCTGCAGATTCAGGCGAGTTCATCTTGTTTCCCTGGCTTTCAGAAATGCTTTGTAGGATTTCCTTCACCCCTTCAAATAAGAAATTCACCATCTTAAGGCATTATAAAAGATAAGTGTCTCAACACAAGGAAAAGACTTATGCACATTTGATTGAATGGGTCAAAGTGCCATGCTTCAAATCAGTGACCTAAGCACATTATGACCAATATTTTTTTTTTTCCAAGTAATCATATGTTTGCTCTTTCTAATGTACCGATAATGCACTAAATCTAACTCCAGAAAGGTCTGCGAGATCTGCCAATCGTAAGCCCCAAAAGACAGTGGTGACTGGTGAAGTTGCTAATATCAGTACAGAATTCTTGTCAGAATAACAAAGAGAAATGAGCCCATACCTACATTTATTAGGCCAAGACCTACTTTTGACTGATAAATAGCTCTCATTGACAAAACAATCTTTTTGTCAATTAATTCTTCAACAAGCCTTTTAGTCTTCCGGTCATATACCTGATGCCAAGATGGATAACGCAAGTGGATAGGGAATTCTGAGCCTTAAGACTTAAATGAACAGCATCGCATGTATACATGACATATGATATAGCATGAAAGTGCTTAATATAGTTGTAAATCATTAAATTCCAACCAAGAGATACATATAGGATTCAAAAAACAGTGGTCACAATGATTGTTCAACTTCTCACCAACAATATCTAGCGTAAGGTAAGAATGACATAGGAAGAGAATAGCATGCAAGGGGTGCAAAGATGGACATATCAGTAAATCATATTGAAAACCGGCTAATTATGATGTCTTTTAAAAGAAAATCAATTATTAGCAAAACAAAGAAGCAAGATCCTTAAATGGATCTCTATTTCTTGACATGACTCGAAAAACATTGACGTTCTACATTTATTGTACACAAGTCAGTAGACTGTCAAGAAAAAGAATGAGCAACAATGCATACCAAAATGTGGGAAGCACTTGATCCGGAGCGTATACCAACATCATAGGATGAAAAATGGGTCCATTCACTCAGTTTAAAGAGCCACCTAAATAAATAAGTAATCTTATCATTTCACCATATTCTGAATCAAATTTAAACCATGTATATCATGCACAGTAACTGTAAATTGACAGTACAAAATTGAAAAGGTTAACACTGTCCATGCCCTACCATACTGCCAGATTAGTTAGCATCATGTTCAGAAATTTACCCATATGATGCCTCTTTATCTGTCAAGAATCCTCCAGTCATCACCTGGTTTCCAGTGCCTTCGTCAAAACAGAGAGTTAAATGGACTATTGCGTTCAGCTTGTCAGCAACCTGAAGAACCTCACCACAAACAGGGCAGCAATTCAATAATGTTTCCCTGCAATACCAGAAATCAGCAGATTAATGAATTATAATCAAATGAAACATACATAAAGAGAGAATCAACATAATGAGAAGACTCCCATCCACTCTTGGTCATCGACTACAGTTCAAACATGGGCATTGACAAATCTTCTAAAAAATTGAGTTCCAATATAGAGAAAAATCGAAACAGATTCTGACGTTTTCAGTCAAGAGAAAGGTTATTATTGTCAAATCTAGAAAGAAAAGCTGCAGAAACATACACACACACATACATAAACAGAATAAAGAGCCAACTGCACTCTCCTTTGGAACATATCATATATACACAAAAATAAAATAGAAAGACATATGGTATCCATAAATGGATGCAAATAAAAATGATAACCAGTATTCAATACATCTGCAACCCGAGACACCAATTTGCAATAGAGATATACCTGTTTGTTGTGATTGTTTAATTGTGTTTCAGTAAGTGACATAAACAATGAAACGTGCATAAACAGCAGAACTCCCAATCCTAGTGTTCCTCACAAGATGCAAAGGAATGACACAATGAAATAAAAATAATTATGACACCTTCAAAAGAATTCATAATTTTAAGCCATTGAACCTAAAAAATGATGGCAAAAGAATACAACATGATATACAAAATAAAACTTGCAGAATCAGATTAGCGATTACTTTTCTTGTTGAGAAGCAAGGAGGTCAGCCAATTCATCCATGCTAACCATGCCATCCCCATTTCTGTCAGCTGCCTTGAAAATTTCTTCTTTCTATTGCAAAGAAAATTGTTGTGCTCAGATTTAAACATACATACACACATCCACACGCAACCAAATAAAAAACAAAAAAAACAAAAAACAGAGAAAGAAAGAAAAGAAAAATTAAAGATTACATTATAATTACAAAACAAGATATACTGTAATGAAGATTTTAAATTAGATACAATCAAGAAACCAAATTTCTATACATTAATTCAAGGTTTTAATGTTCAAAATGTTGTTCTTTTCTATTATTTATATGACCACATAAACTAAAAAGAAATGAAATTATCTAATCAGAAAATCCAAACTTAGGTGTACAAACAAACTTAAAAGATACTCAGTATGGATAGGCTTCATAAACTGAAAAGTCACATAAGATAATTTGGGAAATGTTTGCTCAGGCGTGAACCTTGATAGATGCTGTTTCATTGCCAAAGGCATCAATTAGGTCAGAAAATTCAGAAAACGAAAGCACGCCATCTCCATTACAGTCCTGCACAGAATATTACTTTTTAGGTTAATAACAGACAATGATAAACTGTTCTAAAAAACCTAACATAAATGTTATACAGCATTTTCACTGGCTCACATACTTTTTATATTTAATTTATTCAGCTTGTATCAATTTCCTTTCAAGTTCTAAGAGCACCCTGATAGAGAGAATATGATAAAGGGATGTTGGAAGAAATAACTTTAAATAACATGGAATCATTCTTTAATCTTTAATAGCTATGTTTACAAAAGCTTGGGTATATAGTCTCACAAATAAGTCTCATTTCAAAGTCAGTTTAATACCAATGTCCTTGTGCAAGAAAGCAATCAGATTTTTTCTTGTCATCATTTTTTCATATATCCTCATACGGCTTACAGTCAAACTTGTACCAGTGACAATTCATCAGAAAACAGAAGAAAACCTAACTTACCACTGTAGATAAAATGCGTCTGACAAAGCCCTTCTCTGTTTCAACTGGGTCCTGTTAGATTTTTCTCATAATTGTTATCAATCCCCATTATATTGAAACAAAAACATGGTATATATTCTTTAATGTATACCTCTACGGAACAGGATAGAGAAATGTTGCCAACCACTTTGCCTGGCATTGATGGATCTAATAAGTTGAATACCTCAATGTCAGAATCAGAATCCTGGATCACCATAATATAAACAAAAGAAGCCAATAAATGAACTATTTCAATAGCTATGTTTAAAATAATCAAAAACTGAAAATAAGAATTATTCATTTATCCAAAGCCATGCTCCACCTAGTCTGCTACCCAACAATCCGAGGGAGAGATATGGGCAGCAGTATGCCAGGACCTAGAGGTCAAGGAACAGTCCCGAGCATATAGCACCTATGGGGCGTAGACCTCCCAAGAGATGACAGGGCAAAGGTTTCCATTTGATCTCTATGAGTGAAGTTATCAGAGGCAATTATTGAGGAGGCAGTGAAAAGTCTCACGCATAAACAAACACTCAACTGGCCACTCAGGTCTTCGCCATCAAAATCCCAACATTCCTACCTCCCAACATAATGAAATAGCTCGGAGGAAAAGTAGGCATAACGTTGAGGTAGCTTCTCTTATATTTGTTCACCAAGAATCTGCCTAAAGATACCATAGTGAAGTTGTTTTAACCTCGATCTATGTCATCAATAGAATTCACTCAAAGGAATTCAATTTTCAGACCCCTTGTGCTTCCCTTCTCAACAATCACCCTCAAACTTCCCTGGTATTTACCGATCCTACGAAATTCTTTGAGTGCACCACTTATGATCACATCCACAACAGTAACAAACTTGGTCATAAAGCCACCAAGAACATGTTTGTTGGGTAATATAGCTCCCCAAAAGGGTACAGGCTCTGATCTCAGACCATTAAAAAAAAATCTTTTCTCTTTGGACGAAACTTTCTTGGAAGAAAACCCTTACTTTACAAAAACTTCCATTCACAGAATGAGAGTAGTGAACACCAAAAGGAATGGAGTTTTTGCTTGGAAGAAAAACCAGTCAAATAGTCAGTCATAAATATTAATTAAAGTTTTTATAAGTTCAAAGTAAGGTATGTCAACCTTAAATATTCCTCACCTGGGTCAGAAATTCAAGCAGATCAATCTCACGGTATCCAACAAGAGTATTGCTTCTTAGTCTGTTGGTCTACATAAGAAAATAATAATTCAAAATTATATACACTGATATGCGCAAGGAGTTACTAAGAAGCAGTCAATCATAAAACCAGATTCAAAATGTCAGTAAGTAGAATCTATGCCACAATTATCTTTCCATTTTGTAAAAACATATTTCCAAATCCCTTGATCTTCAAAATGAAGTAGAAACATACACCAAGCATACAAGTGTGACATAGGATTTCGAATTTCATTTGTTCAAGTCTAGCAAAATTAAATTAGATAAGTTTATTCTAAGGTATTGCAAATTAAAATAAGTAGGTCAGAGGGTCTGACTGCACACCTCAAATACAGAAATCTTAGCAACATGAGGTCCATTCTTTTCCAGAAGAAGCTTCTTTTCCTGTGAGAGAACATAGAAGTCATGTTGATCAGGAAGCACTTATCTGATCAACTATACTCTATGGAGTCGACAGGAATCAGGATCAACACCTCATGAGATAGGGCAAATGAATTTGAGTAACAAATATTTAACGCATGTTCTCGCACTCACAGACACTCACAACATATGATAGAGAGTAGAGTACTCACAGAGTTCCAAACCGGCTTGTCTGTTCTGCACCACCAATAGCACAAAATGAATACATGAAAAAACAACGAAAGGAAAAGTTTCTAATGCTGACAACTAAAATATTGCAAGTAAACCCTCAAATATGTTAGCATTAACTGAAGACATGCACAGACATACCGGATTGCCATGTACAAGCAAATATAACACGCTATTACATTAACTAATCATACAGTAATGACTTTAGAGGGAAAATTTTGTAGCTAACATGGGTTCCAAAAATATGTGTACTGTCAAAAGCTAAACACAGGTAAAGAAAGTTCTACATTAAAGATGTGCTTATTTATACTCAAGCAGCAGAACCTTATAGGCTACACCAAAAATACAAATATATCAAGCAAAAAAAAAAAATCCACATATTATCCTCATGCAATTAAAGTTGAATAGAATATCGACATTTCACATAATGAATCATGATACAGTTAAAATGATCATAGCAAGCCCAATAGGCTTTTCCAGTACTTAACTGATCTGAAGTCTTTGTACGGAAAGCCTGCTCTCCAAGAGATACGCAAGCAATCCACTTATCCTTGAACTGCATCTCCGCCTAAAATCAGAAGATTCACATTTTACCATTTTTAAATAAAACTCATGTATGTTGTCCTAAAAAATAATCAAAATAACAAAATATATGTGTGTCCCAATAGGCCAACAGAAAAATAAGCTAAAGGCAAAGAAAAACCTTTTCGGCTTAAATTTCACTATCACATAACAAAAGCAGAAAGAAAAGGATGGAAAAAATCGTTTGTTACGACCTAAGAAGTGAGGACCACTGATATTGACGCACGAAACGCAAGGAAATGGAACTAAAGTGGTTACACTTAGATAATGGATGAGATATATAGAATTTGAACGCTACTTAAATTGCAGTATCATAATACGGCCATCTAACATATATCACTGCAGGATTCTCTACGCTTACCTGCAAAGGTAAAAATATATCATTTTCATGGAAACAAGAAAGGGCAAAAAAATCCTTTGAGGAAATTGTAACAATGAATTTAAAAGATAATAAATAAATCTTCATTCTTAACTGTACTGGCATCATGATGCAAGAATAGAATATATATCACGATAGTGCTCAATTTAGAAGTACCGATAGCGATTACATTTTACAATTTCAAGGGGGGGAAATGGCTCTGAACAAGAAGTTCCTTTTGAGAAAGCTGTACGAATGGAATGTAAGAAATAAAAGGGGAAAAAGAAAAACACGTGACAACTAAATTAAAAGGAGTTTTACATACATGTAACCGACCTTAACTAATAAGCAATTTCACAATCACCCAGCGTAAAACCCCGGGGAATTATAACTGGAGGTAAATAGAGCAGGAAAACACACCTTGATGAGAGTGAGGAGAGCGATTCCGGCGAAGTCATCAGCGGAGATATGTTTGAGAGCAGAAGAGGGGGAGGAACCAGAGGAGCCGTTGCCATTCCTGCGACGGCGATCGTGACGGAAGTGGCAGCCTAAATGAAGACGTTCTTTGAAGCGAGCACGCCGCGAGCCCTTATTGTTATTACCTTCCGGAGAAGGCACCTTGGAGTCGCCATTACCCATACCCTATAATCTCTATCTCTGGTTCAGCGGGATAGCAGAGAATGTCGGGTTGAAGTGTTGGTGGAATGCCCAAATCTCAATGCTTCTCACTGCGGTCACTCGCTGCCAACCTTGACCGTAGTAGATATTCGCTGGACACAACGGTTCTTGTGGACGTACCAGACTGGTCGATCTCCCCAAGCATTTTTAACTTTTTTGTAGTGCAAGTACAGGTTGGATGGGAAATTATATTTATACATAAAGGGTCCCTCCTTTTTGATTTAAAAGTCAAAGCATTAGGTTCCACAGATGTACTTATTTATACTTCTGCATGAAACTCACTTTACCAGCCCTGGTGATGTTTGATGTGTCCTTATGTTTCTTTCAAGGGTTGGAATCTTAAAGCCTCTTAAATTAAATTCAAATTAAGGGGTTAAGATGTAAAAATAAAAGTATCACCCATGCATGCGCATCTAATATCACAAAGTTTCCATTGATGCATCACTATACAGAAATATTCTGCATGTGCAAACTAAATTATAATTTATGAAATACTATATTCGGTTCTTAATATAAGATCTCATTTGACTTTTATTTTAGTCATATATGTAAAACCCAATTCACTTTATCTCTCATATTTATTCATTTTTTTTCAATATAGTCCTTCTAATAATGATAGTTATAGCTAATAAATTTTATTAATAAAAATATTTTAAGAAAAACAATACATATTTATTACAAATAACTAACTTAACTTATTTCTGTAATTTATTCAAACTAATCAACTGGCTATTATATTTACAACTGGAGGTGGTTTGAGATAAATATGAAAAGAATTTTACCTCAACAAACATAAAGGTGCTTATAAATGCTTATAGATCGTAGCTCCAAAAATTTTACCACACTAAAGTAATAAAGTCAAATGGTCAATGGGAACTCTAATACAAAAAAAAAAATTTATCACCAAAAAATGTTTTTCTATTGTTTTATAACCCACACACCTTGTCATATTTCATATCACTAATGAAAAAGATTTTTTTTTGGCCAAACACTAATGAAAAAGATTTGAACATATGGATTTTAGCCAAAGGGTAACATGGGGACAATCAACCTTGCTTGGTGGGTAAGTCTGATTGTGGTTGGCAGAATAAAAATATCAAAACTTTAATAACAAAGTACAATAGCCTAAGTTTCAAATAATTTGTATGAGAATAGGATTCAATGAGTTATCAAATCTCAAAAAGTGATTTCAAGGTCTCAAAAAAATCTCAAAAAGTGATACCATCAATAGCTTTAATTTAATTAACAAGATTCTTATCAAGCCCAAACAAAATGTTCCTCTTCCGATCCGAAATATAGAACCTATTTTATAGTATAATTTGTACTATAAAATAGATCTTACATTTAAGATCGGAAGAGTATCAAAATTCAACATCCAGAAATAATTGGCAAACAAAGTATGCTGCAATTAAAAATTCAACACGCATAAATTATTCAGGAAAAAATTATATTATTTTTTATTTAGAAATTTACATAAAATCATGTGCACTGCCTAAATTAACAATCAAGGGCTAAAAAGCGATAATTCAGAACCAATTTTTTTAATAGATAAATACTTATGAGGTGTAAGAATTCAATTGAACGAGTGAATGAGAAAATTAATACAAGGGGCCCAAGTTCAACAACCATAATTAAAAATGATAATGATAAATATGAAAATGTCCCATCAATAAATCACTTAAAATTTTAAAATTATAATATGTTGAATGAGGATGTAAAGAAACATCAAGCATAGTTTGCACGGGCACAGCTTCACGTCAAAACACAAGAAATAAACAAATAAACATATCTCAACTGCTCCATGAGGAGCCTGGTCCACAATGTAAGATTTTGGACTGAAAATGGTTCAAAAATAAGACGTTGTTGTCAAGGATAAGTAATTTGATTTTTTTTTTTTTTTTACTTTTATACTTATCCATACTTCCGCATGAAACTTTTATTTTCCACTTTACCAGCTCTGGTGATATTTGATGTGTCCTTATGTTTCTTTTCAGGGTTGGAATCTGAAAACTTTTTAAATTAAATTTAAATTAAGGGGTTAAGATGTAAAAATAAAAGTATCACCCATGCATGCGCATCTTATATGACAAAGTTTCCATTGATGCATCAGCGTACAAAAATATCCTGCTTGTGCAAGCTAAGGTCATCTTATAAACAGTTTTTCAATTATACTTCCTCCGGTTCTCAATATAAGACCATATTTGATTTTTATTTTAGTCCTAAATATAAGACTTCAATTCATTTTGTCTCTCATATTTATACATTTTTTTTCAAAGTAGTCATTCTAATAATGATAGTTCTAATCAATACACTTGATTAGCAAGGATATTTTAAGAAAGACAACACATATTTAAGACAAATAACTAACTCAACTTATTTCTTTAATCTCCTCAAATTAATCAACTAGCTCTTATAATTAGGACCGGAGATAGTAATTTATGAAATACTACTTCCAATTCTTAATATAAGATTTTATTTGACTTCTATTTTTATTCTAAATATAATACCTCAATCCACTTTGCCTCTCAGATTTATTCTTTTTTTCTAAGATAGTTCTTTTAATACTGATAGTTCCAGCAAATAAATTTGATTAGTAAAGATATTTAGAAAAGATAATACCTACTTATTACAAATAATTAATTTAACTTATTTTCTTAATTTACTTAAATTTCTTCTATTTAGAACTGGAGGTGGTATGAGATAAATATGAAAAAAAATTTATCTCGACTTATATAAACGTGCTTATAAATACTGATAGGTCGCGCCTCCAAAAATTTTACCACACTAAAGTAATAAAATCGTTTGTTATAGTCAACTGGTCAATGGGAACTCTAATTCGAAAGATTTTTTTTTATCACCAAGAAACAGATTTTTTTTTTTTTTTTGCATGAACCACACACCTTGTCATATTTCATATCAAAAAAAGTTAAAAAGTAAAAACTCAATTTCATGCTTAAAAAAAATTCCAAAAAAAAAGTTCATGACGTGGGTTGAACTACGAAGCCTATCACTAATGAAAAAGATTTGAACATATGGGTTTTAGCCCAAATGTAATATGGGGACAATCAACCTTGCTTAGTGGGTAAGTCTTATTGTGGTTGGCAGAATAAAAATATCAAAACTTTAATAATAAATTATAATAAAATGTATACTCTTCAATAAAATATTATGGACAGCCTAAATTTCAAATAATTTGTATGAGAATAGGATTCAATGAGTCGTCAAATCTCAAAAAGTGATACCATCTGTAGTTTTAATTTAATTAGCAAGATTCTTATCAGGCCCAAAACAAAAGGTCACCAAAATTCAGCATTCAGAAATAATTGGCAAACAAAGTATGCCGCAATTAAAAATTCAACACGCATAAATTATTCAGAAAAAAAAATTATGTTATTTTTCTATTTAGAAATTTACATAAAATCATGTTCACTGCCCAAATTAACAATCAAGGGTTAAAAAGCGATAATTCAGAACCAATTTCTTTAATTGATAAATAATTATGAAGTGGAAGAATTCAATTGAACGAGTGAATGACCAGATTAATATAAGGGGCCCAAGTTCAACAACCATAATTAAAAATGAAAATGATAAATATGAAAATGTCACATCAATAAATCAAAGTGATGCTCATAAATTAGAATTTTAAAATTATAATATGTTAAATGAGGATGTGAAGAAACATCAAGCATACCTCGTACCGGCCCTGCTTTAGTTCAAAACACAAGAAATAAATAAACAAACATATCTCAACCACTCCATGGGAAGTCTATCCATAATATAAGATATTGGACTGAAAATGGTTCAAAAATAAGACGTTGTTGTCAAGGATAACTAATTTGATTTTTTTTACTTTTATTCTTATTAAATATAAGGAAAAAAAATGAGAGAAGATAAAAGTACAACATTAAATGCAACTTTATCATTATTTAGGGGTAAAATAGAAAAATTTTATCATTTTAGGACAGATTTAATGACTAAACTTTTATTTTTTAATATGTAAGAAAAGTTAACCAACTTCTCATATTATGAACTGAATGGAGTATATAATGATATTTCAAAGATAGACACACGAACGTAGACGTATATGATTGAAAAACTTGACATAATAAATATAAGCAACTTAACATATACATAGTTCTAAGGGAAAAAGACAGAAAAATGGCATGTTAACTTAGGAATGACCAGAACGTCCGCTCAACTTGCAAAATCCCATTTTGGTCATATGAGACCAAATTGGCATTATCTTATGCAATGAAAAGACCAAACTGCCCCTCATTTATTTATTGTTTTTAAAATACCAAAGGCTCCTACTAGCCGGCCGGTCGCCGGAGCTCCGGCGGTCAGAAATAATTTTTTTTAAAATTTTTACAACTTCAGTATAACGGTTAATAATTTTTGTAATGCTATTAACAATTTCAGTATAACAATTAACAATAGGTTTTCTGAGAAAGTCAACAAGCTCCGGCGACTGGAAATAATTTTTTAAAAAAATTTTACAACTTCAATATAACAGTTAACAACTTTTGTAACGCTATTAACAACTTCAGTATAGCAATTAATAACAGGTTTTTTGAGAAACTCAAGAAGCTCCGGTGGCCGGAAACAATTTATTTGAAAATTTTTACAACTTCAGTATAACGGTTAACAACTTTTGTGAGGCTATTAACAACTTCAGTATAGCAGTTAACAACAGATTTTCTGATAAATTCAACAAGTTTCAGTGGCCAGAAACAATTTGTTTGAAAATTTTTACAACTTTAATATAATGGTGAACAACTCTTGTGACGCTATTAACAACTTCAATATAACAGTTAACAACAGCTTTTCTGAGAAATTCAACAAGTTTCGGTGGCCGGAAACAATTTTTTTGAAAATTTTTACAACTTCAATATAACGGTTAACAACTCTTGTGACACTATTAACAACTTCAATATAGCAATTAACAACAGCTTTTCTGAGAAATTCAACAAGTTTCGGTGGCCGGAAACAATTTTTTAAAAAATTTTACAACTTCAGTATAACGGTTAACAACTCTTGTGACGCTATTAACAATTTCAGTATAGTAATTAACAACAGGTTTTTCAGAAAATTCAA